CCCCCCCAACATCAGACAAGCCACTTCACCTCCTGTTTTTAAATCTCTGCTAAAATCACATCGGTTTTCTCTGGATTTTTACACAGTGTGATTTGATTTAGTATTTTATTGTTTTGTGTTTTTCTTTTATTTATTTATTTTTTGATGCTTTTAATTAATTTTTAGTACTATGATTATTTTTTTTTTTTCCATTAAATTACTCCCATTGCTTTTTAATGTTAAGCACTTTGGTAACAGCTGCTGTTTGAAATGTGCTTTATAAATACATTTTTACTTGACTTGACTTCCTTGTTCTCTCCTCATCAGTCTCTTGTTAGTCAACCATGCAATGAGATTTTGGCAAACTTCATGAGTCTGACTCATGTTTGCCCAAGTTCAATCCAAGATTAGTTTTAGCCACACTTGAGTCCACAGCAAATTTGCCATGAAGATCAGTTTGTCTTGTCCTTTCATATGGATCTTGAAGAGCAGTCGATAATGTAACCACCCAAACGTCACAAGCAACATTCTTTTCCTTGACGTGAAGAGCAAAGAGAAATGTGTGACTGTACATTTTTCTGGTTTGCTTCAATAGATTTGAAAGCAAACACATGCACATCTGTTGGCATTAATACCCCCAGCCCCAAGTGGTAGAATTCAAATTTTCATCTGATTGAGCGTGACATGAAATCAAGCCTGATGAGATTGTGTAGACATCTATGGAAACATCCTGAATCGATCCCAGTTTTTGTAATTCAACAGGCAAAATCACCATCTTTCATCTCCCTTTTCAAAGTTACCTTCTTGGATGTCGCCTCAGAATTTTAATTTCTCTCTGGCAGGCCAGCATATACCACTGAAAAGCAGCAGCACACCGAATCAAATCAGACCTCCAGATGATAGATGAGTAAGCCTAGCCACAGTCTATAATGTATTTGGGCTGCCAGCTTACTCCTGTGACAGCTGAAAAATGCCAATGAGCTAGCAGGAACTAGTATATGATCACCATGATGTTTATTTTTCACCTTATAGCAGATAGACTGAAATTAATTAATGTTGTAATAAGATGAACATGGGGAACCGTGATAAAAGCCAAAAAGGTACTGTGTTTTCAATTAGCCAGGTATCAGAAAGTACTGAGCGTGCACTGATAGAGGGTTTCCAGGGGTGGTCACTGCACTCAAGTCTGAAAGGGCTGTGATGCTTTGACAGCACATCTGTTCTGCAGTGTGGTAAGAGAAACCCAAGGGGAAGGTGGTCAACCTGGCATTTACCTTTGTCTTCAAGAGCAAAGCAAATCATCAGCTCAACTACAAAGCACAAGCTCTTGGTTTGAGAGATAAAGTGAGTTGAACTCCCCAGAGAGCAGATGAAAAATACCAGCTCAGCCCCCCCGAGGGGGGGTTGAGCTTCTGCAGGAGTATGTTAGGAAAAGCTGCATCGACAATCTCCCACTCAAGCAAAGCCTTACCGTCAGCTATGAGGTGCTCTGGCACGTGTAAGATTACTCGAACTGAGAGACTGCAGGAGAGGTGGGATGAGTAAACCAGGCCAATCACACAGCTGATGACACTGATCAGAGTCAGGGTGGTCTTATTGATGGGACTCCGTGGGGAACCTGCTGCTGGGAACAAACACACAGAGAGGGGAGACAGGGGAAGGTGGGGACAACAAGGAATTGACACGTGTTAAGGGTAAGGCAGTGCTTAATTTCTACGTATTACCCTATTAATTCATAAACACTTGTGCACACAGTCACAAACAAATACACAAACTGCATAGACAGAAAGTTAAATCACAAACAAGTGCAAATAAAAAGGGTTTAACCCTGACAAAAAAAGACCTTTGGATCAAAAACTCCAAGCTTTTGGGAGCTTTAAACCAGCCACAGCTCGCTGGAACACACTAAAGTTTACCTTTGAAGGGTTCAAACATACACACGGGGGATGTGTGGGAAAGAAAACAAAAAAACAAAAAAAACAGAAACACGGGATGAAGTAAAATAATAAAACCGCTCAGAGGTTGTTACGCAACCATCCCTCTTTCCTGTGCTCTCCTCTGTCAGAAGGAAAACGCTGCCCTTATCTCTTTTACTCCAGAGCGCAACACAGAAAGTGGTAAACATGACCTCATAACCACAGGGGCTCGCATACATCCACACACACACCAACATAAAAAAAAAAAAAATCACACAACGACCTTGAATATAGATGCTCACACTTTGTTTAAAGCGGTTACTTTTACACTGGAAGAATAATTCAAGATTGCATTGTCACTTTTAAATTACTTTGGCTGAGCTTTTTCTTTCTAACGCTGCCCAAGGCTATCCTTTAAACAAAAGCCAAATGGAAGCTTGACCTTTTGTTTTGTGCTTTAAGCTAGTTTATTTAATCAGTAAGTTACCCAGAAACTGGATGTGGGCATCATCTCACCTTTCTGACCTTTCTGTTTTGGCTTCCGTCCCAGTGTTTACTGTATATTTCAGATTTTACGTAATGGTGTAAAAGTTCCTCTCGGCATACGTTTGGTTAGTTTACTGAAAAGTGGAATATAGCAGTGTTCTTCTCACATCTTTGCTTAGACGTAAAATGACATGAAATATTTTGTCACACCTCACAAATTATTATTTCCACTGGATGTAAGCGACATAGTCAGGGCACTGTTGCAGCCACCTTGTTCTATTCTTACAGCCGGCTCTAATTAAAGATGTTGGCTACACTTCCGGAGGCTTTGCCGTGTTTGTGACACCTGTGCACATGACGGGGCGATAATTGGCTTGGAGGCTTTGTAAAGGCTTGTAACACCCTCTGACAGCAGCTATTATTTTAAGGGCATTGTTTGTTTTTTTGTTCTTGTTGTTGCCCCCCCCCCCCCCCCCCCAGTCTTCCTTCTACAACCCATTACTGTACATCAAAGCTGTGAGGACATGGCATGCTGACAGATAAAGCATGCTCCACCACGTCACTTTGACAGCATTTTCACTGGGTCCTCCTTAGAAATAATATTTGTCCGTAATATTATTTCAAACTAAAGTGTACTTCGTACTGCAAGATGCAAGAAATATAAATATGTATTGCATTAGGAAGCTCTGATCTCATCATCTTGTTTGAGTTCACTCAACAAGATTGAATGCGGATGAGCTGAGATCAGTTTTACATGCTCACAACCACTCTGCACACAATTATGCATACAGGTGCATCTAAAAATATTGGAATATCATGAAAAAATAAAATAAAAGGTCAGTCATTTCAGAAAGTGAAACTCATATATATTACATGGGTTTATTACACAGAGTGAAACATTTCAGGACTATCCAACAATGTTCATTCAGATCATCTGGACGGTTTCTTTTTTTTTTTTGTGTGTGTTGAGACATTTCGCCCACCATCCAGAAGGCTTCATCAGTCTGAGGAAACACCAAATAAAACTGCCTCTCCCCCAACAGCCTACTCCAATGTGGAAAAAAAAAATACAGTTTTATTTGGTGTTTCCTCAGACTGACGAAGCCTTCTGGATGGAAGGTGAAGTGTCTCAGCACAAAAAAAAAGAAACTGTCCAGATGACCTGACAGAACGTTGTTGGATTTTATAACTGGTTTATTGTGCATGAACATTTGGTATTTCAGGAATTTATTATTATTTATTTTTCATAATTTTGTTGATTATGACTTACAAATAATGAAAAAAACAAAATTCAGTGTCTCAAAAAAATTAAATATTACATAGCCATCTTTTGGTACTTTTGTAAGTGTGCCAGGTCTGGAAAATGAATTCAGAGTCAGAGAGTAGGAGTTTTTTTATTTTTATTTTATTTTTTATTGTCATTCGCACCACATGTGGTACATGTGGTGGAACGAAACTGTGTACACAGGGTCCCAGTTACATCCAACAATAAAATGTAAAATAAAAAAACTGTAATAAGATCTAGATATGATATGAACTAAGAAAAAACATTAACTAAAAATATGCTAACCACTAATAGCATAAAAGCAATAAGAACTCATCATCTTCATAAAGCTTGTCAGCAGAAGGAAGCATAAAGTCCCTAAAATGTCCCGCTAGATGCTGCGTTGACCGAGGACTTCAGAAAACACAGTGGGGGACACGGCCCCAAACCATCACTGACTGTGGAAACTTCACACTGGATTGGACTTCAGGAAGTGGATTCTGGGCTTCTCCACTCCCTCCAGACTCTGGGACCTTGATTTCTAAATGACATGAATAATTTACTTTCATCTGAAAAGAGGACATTGGACCACTGAGCATCAGTCCAGTTATTTGTCTCCTCAGCCAGGTGAGACACTTCTGATGTCTCTGGTTCAGGAGAGGCTGGACTTGAGGAATGAGACATTTGTAGCTCATGTCCAGGAGTTAATCAGCTGAAAATTGTGACACCAAGAGTTTACAATATTGAGCACAATATTTGTGTTCAATATTGTTCAATATTCACAATATTCTAATTTTTGGAGACACTGAATGTTGTTTTATTCATTCATTATTTTTGAGCTACAATCATCTAAATTACAAAAATAAATAAATAAATAAAAATAAGGCTTGAAATTGTTCACGCTATGTGTAATGAATCTATGGATTGAACGGTTTGAACTTTCTGAAATTACTGAACATTTTTATTAAACATTTTTCACAATATTCTAATTGCTTTAGATGCACCTGTAGACTACATACCTGTATGCATTTGTTTTGGAGTGAAACTCATGAGCACACAAATTTAGAGCCATCCATCAGCTACATGTACTGAGGTCACTTGACATGCGTCAACAGCAACACCACCGATGGGATAAACTGTTTGTAGGTGTATGAGTCCTCCTTACCCCCAGAGCCCCACGCGCTGTTGGCGTTACCGTTTCTCATACCTCGACTCCGGCGCCGACTGCGGTTCGGGTCGGTGTAAAAGGCCAGCTGAGGCTCGCTGTCTGCCTCCGTCCCAGAGTCCCCGTCTGGGTTCAAGAAAGTTGAACCCGCTGTTGGATTCACACAAAAATACACCTCCAGTAAAGAAGAAAAAAGTAGTCTAATGATGGGGACTTGAGTTACGCTCACATAAATGAAAGGGAAACGGCAGCCAGAAAAAAAAAAAAAAGGTAAAAAGACGAACCCACTACTTGATTTTTTTTATAGCAAGAATTATGGTTCTTTCAAAAATGAGTGGTAATGACCGGAAGCAAACTTAAATATTATTTTTTTTTTCTTTTTGTGTGTGTGTAAATGAGATGCAACTTATGAGACCAACGGCATACTTAATAAACCAGTGATGCACTGGTTAGGCTGACAGTGTACACTCAAAATCAGTAGTGCTCGCATCAGACTACATTTTTTATAACTGAATCTTTGCACAATGTTATTTCACCTCCTTTATGCTTCAACATTTGATTGTATCACAGTTTAGTTATAGCAGTGTGAAAAATAGTATCATGTAGTTGCATATACTTGAAATTGTAGCAAAATTTCCTGAGACCACAAACATAAGAATCTGAGAATCAAATTTGTTTTACCAAAATCCTTAATTAAGCATTAGTGTGTGTACATACTCTATCTATCTATCTATCTATCTATCTATCTATCTATCTATCTATCTATCTATCTATCTATCTATCTATCTATCT